AGTAGAGGGGTGCCTGGGTGGCTCAGTCGGCTAAGCATCCAACTTAGGCTTGGGTCATGATCTCACGGTTCGTGGGTTCGAGTTCCGCACTGGGCTCTGTGCTGGAAGCCAGCTCAGAGCCTGGAGACTGTTTCAGATTCTGTGTCTCCCTCTCTCTGACCCTCCCCTGCTGGCTCGCTTGCTCTCTCTCTCTCTCTCACTCTCTCTCTCAGAAATGAATAAAACATTAAAAAAAAAAAAAAAAGATCTCCATCAGTAGACTGAATTACAGCAGCTGTCATGCTATAAGACACATCCATTTCAAAAGCTAACCCAAAATCTTATTTGAAGATAGAGGGGAAGGAAAAAAAAATGTGGGCTGGGAAGGAGGAGGGGCTTATAGAGACTGTGATGCACATCTTCTCTAAATAATCTGACAAAGGGCCAGCAGAGGGAATATGGCCTCCATCTCTCATGAACCATGAACATGCAAATAAGCGCACCTCTTTGTGCTCCTTTGTAAGTAACTTCAACGCTGCCCTTATTTGGGCCACTGCCATTACTGTCAGCAGTTCCCACCACTTTCCTCACACTTTATACCTTCATTTCCACTCAGCCATGTCCTCCAACCCCCCTCCCCCAGTAACATGCAATCTTTTTAATTTTGGGGGGGGGGGGGGGCAGAGAGAGAGAGAGAGAGAGAGAGAGAGAGAGAGAGAATCCCAAGCAAGCTCTGCATTGTCAGCACAGAGCCCAGTGCAGAGCTTGAACTCATGAACCATGAGATCACGACCTGAGCTGAAGTCATACACTTAACCAACAGAGTCACCCAGAAGCCCTACGTACAATCTAATTTTTAACAAACCAAGCAAACTACCGTGCAAATACAGCTTCCGGCCAATCACTCCAACCCCTCCATCCCACCACATCATCACTCTGCAGCCCTTTCTATAGAAAGCCTGGAGGTGCTAGTACCCTCACTAATTGTCTATAACCAACTAATGCAAAACAAACATTTTCAGTATCAAATTTTTATTCAGCCTCTTATTGTAACACTAAATGTAACAGAAACATATATTCCACAGAGAATAACCACCTTTTCAAATCTTCTCTTTCAAATCTCCAGTATGTTTTTCTCAGCTCAGGGGGTCAGAAGAGCCAGCACCCCTCACTCCCCACCAGCATTTCCAGACCATTTGTCTATGACTGCTTCCCTACTACCACCATCTCTTCTGAAATTCATGCCATTTATTTTACTTTCTATGTGAAGTCTTCCTGGATACTCTCCCCAAGAAAAATTTCTCCTTTGTATGTCTCATGCTATTTAATTTTTTTATAGCCAGGCAATAAATTCTTAAGTGGACAGGATATATTTATAAAGCAAACTCCTACAATCTAAACCCCACTGGCAATTGCTATCCACAAGCCTGTTTGCTTATGTGGGAGTGGGGAGCAGGAGACTAATACGGGAGGAAGGTATACTTGCAAAGAAGGTCCACAGAAAATGACTACACAATAATGTCTTTGGAATAAGGTGTGGGGGGGAGGATGGGAGGTTCTAAGCAAAACCAAGTCTTAAGTAGCAGAAGCACATTCTGTGCTAAGAGCCTAGTTCAACAGGAGATACATACACTACTTTCAAGAGAAAATCCCAGAGTGTTCAAAACACTTTTGAGGAATTACTCACGGTCTTCTATTAGAAAAAGCCATCAGCCTGTTTATAGCAGCATTATCTACAATAGCCAACTTATGGAAAAAGTCCAAGTGTCCATCCACTGAAGAATAAACAAAGATCTGGCATGCATATATATATATATATATATATATATATATATATATATATATATGGATTATTACTCAACCATAAAAGAAGAATGAAATCTTGTCCATCAGCAATGACATAGGTGGAGCTAGAGAATATTATCCTAAGCAAAATGAGTCAGAGAAAGACAAATACCATGATTTCACTCATATGTGGAATTTAAAAAACTAATAAATGAGCAAAGGGAAAAAAGACAGAGAGAGAGAGAAGAGAAACCAAGAAACAGACTCTTAACTACAGAGAACACACAATGGTCACCAGAAAGGAGGTGGTTGGGGAGATGGGGGAAATAGGCGATGGGGATTCAAGAGCACAGGGTGACATATGTGAGTGTTGAATCACTGTATTGTACACCTGAAACTAACACTGCACTGTTTTAATTAAAAAGAAAGAAGGAAAGAAAGAAAGAGAAAAGAGAAGACAAGACAGGAAGAAAAAAGAAAAGAAGGAGGGGGAGGAGGGAGAAGGGAGGAGGGGAGGAGGAGGAAAAGGAAAAAGAAACAAAGGCTAGCAGGGAATGAAATGTGCTCTCAGGATTAAGGACTTCTCACCCTCCACTGAGCCCTTTCACTTCCAGGCAAGTCCAAATTAAATACACATATCCCCGAGTAAGATCTATGATTTGTTCAAGTTTTTTGCCTTCGTAGGTAATTTTCAGATTTATAATAACATATATCTACAACCCGTATCAATAATGCTTTGTACATAGTAGGCCTGCAGAAAAAGGATGTGCTTAATTTAATAAGTGACTTCACTAACTTCTCAGATAGCCAGGAGGCTTCATAACAAAAGATAATTAAGGAATGTCTGGAAATATGAATTTAAAAGAGAACATTTGTCTGAAATCTAAGTATTAAAATATCAGATATAAAACAAGTCTGAAAATTATTGAAATAAAAAAAAAAGAAAAGACAAGACATTCCTGAAACCAGGTGATGGAGACAGGAGGGTTCATTATACCAGTCTCTCTACTTTCGTGCAAGTTTGGAAAAGTCCATAATCAAAAAGTCAAAAACCGTAAGATATAAACAAATTTAGAAAAGCTGTCCGAGCTGCTTACACCGTAAGTGCCGGTGCCCGCACGGAAGCAGCGTGACTGGAAACAAAGGGACCAAGAGCACAACCTGACACAGGACTCTGGGTACCGAGGCCAGGGACAGTCAGCCTCCTGCACACACAACCTGAGAGGTGAGCGCGTGAGCTGAGGAAGAACTACTCTCGACAGTCCGCACGTGGGAAAGCAGCAGCCGGGGGCTCCAGGCCCCGTGGTGGCCCTCCTGTCGGGTAGGTTCTGTGCCACGGACACAGGGAGAGGCCGCACCCAGGATGGCATCATCTGCCCCATGTTCTCCCTCCACTTCCAAGTCACCTGTGACCTGCACCGTCACACGCTGGCGGCCATGGCAGGAGCTCGGCGGCTCATCCTTGACGCGTGCAGGACACAATTAGCTTCACATAAAACTATTCTATTAAAAAGCAACAAAGAAGAAAGTAGGGAGAAAATGAGGAGGAAAGTGATCCCTTTCAAGGACATATTTATAAGCAGAAAAGTTACCACAATATATAAAATATTTATTAACGAAACTTTTACAAGAAGGTATGGGGGGCCATTGGTAAATGCTGCTTTAACCTACATTTTAAGGCAGAATCACACATCGGAGTCCAGTTCTCCCCAAAAGCTCAAAGGTGCATACTGATCTACTTCTGTGGCAACGTCAAATACAACCATGTGGGGAGAAGGGGAGAATATTATTAAACTTTGTCTGCTTATCCACAGTGACGTCACCTTCCCCTACATGGTATGGAAAGAGTTTCACTGTAAGATATATGAAATTAAATTTTTAAAAAGAAATCAAAGAAATATGATAGTAATTCACATTTTACACTGAGCAACAGAAAGTACTTTTAGATGTTTTTCATAAATACTAGTAATACCAGTAATCAGCACTTGAACATTTTCTAGTAGCAGAAAAAACTGTCACGGAAAAGCTAGGAATGAAGTTGCAGTCATCATAATGCACCTCCTTATCTCTCAGGAGGTGTTACTTCGTAGTGTGTTTAACATCAAAAGCACCTGTGTACACTGTACACATGGTACTCCTGAAGGTTATAATTTCCAGAAGAGTGTGAAATAAAAACACATGAGAAAGTTCTCATGTGTACTTTATGGAACCATTATATTTTGAAATCATTTTTAAACTGTACACAAAGGAGACTTTAATGCTAAGATGATACTACCAGAAAAATCATAAAAACATACCCTAAAGAATACAAATACCTTTGGGAAAAACAAGAATAAATCTCCAGCAATCTCACTAATCACATGTAAAATCTTAGAAAACAGACAGATTGTAAAACACACCTTAAAAATATTCATGGGATAAGTATATTAGCAGATGTGTACTTATAAACTGTAACATCAGTGGAAAATCACCCTCGAATGTAAAATATTACTCGTTATTAAAATGTGACCGAGATTTAAGCAAACCCAAATACACACGATGAGAAGGCAAGGACGGCAAACACACAGCATCGTTGGGGATGTGTCTGGCCCTCCGTTCTAATCTGAGGACAGACCACAAGGATCGGTCGGCGCGCTCCTTCTCCCAGGGCCCAAACAAACCCTCAAAATCATTCTACACGAGCATGGCAGATAGCGACTACCAAGAGACCACAGATAAAATATGAATTAAACCTATTTTCTAGCCCTAGTCCAGGATTTTACTGACGTAAAACATTTGCAGAGATTTTTTTAGACAATTATTTTAAAATCAGAAATGGTAATATTTTCACTTTATTTAGAATTCACTTCATCAAGAAATGGATTCCAATAAATCTTTCACCTTAAAGACCAAGCTCTATCACAGAAACAACCACAAAAGTAAATGAATGTAATTGGCAAACTTGAATCCATTAGTAAGAAACAATGGAATAATGTGAGATTTCTTTCTTCTGTTGAGAAAAGAAAGCAGCCCTTTCAAGAGTGCAGACAATGACCATACTCGGCTGTTAATAAGAGTACTGGTGAAACCAAAAAATACCCTTTTCAATAGAAGCAATACATTCTCTCATTCTCTACTCATTAAGGTAGGAGAGTGGTTTAAGGCTTGAAGGGCCCTGGATTTTCAAGGATCAACAAAAACAAAAGTAAAGGGTTGATTTATGGCATTAACAGAGATTTCAAACACTTAACACTTACTTTTGCAAAAGCTTCAAAAATGTCAAAGGAAGGTGGCAGCTGAGAAGCATCCTGTATTTCTTCTCTCATGAAATGTTGGAAAGTCATTACAAGTTGCCTGAGACCCTCTTTCTTATCTTCAGTCAGTTTGTTAATATCTTTTTTAAAAGGAAGATAAATAACACAATCACACAGTGAATTTTTAATGGGTAACTCTCATTCAATGTTAGCTGTTAAACCTGATATTTCCTGCTCTAGATTTCATTCTGGCAGAGAGCAAATACGTTTCTTTTTATTTTTTGACAAATTATGATACATATATTATCAATTAAATTCTGCCAAACTACATCTACAATATAGGATCAAATACCTATCAAAACAAAACAAATGCACTTAAAGATGAAAACCACTACAACCAAAATCGGTAAAGATGTGTGTTACAGATTCTCCACGTCATCCTGTGCACATGTGCAAGCCATCCTAAATGCTTACAGTCAGTGAAATTTAAGCAGGTTTTTCCATGAAACAATTTACAACCAGAGCATGACTAACTGATAAACAGAATATCTCAAAGGCAGGGGGGGAAAAAAAAAAACAAACCATGAGAAGTAAGAAGTTCAGCTAAAGTTCATTTGGTGACATGTGTCACATAGAAAGCACACAGAAGAAAGCAGGGACCAACCCAAGAAACCTTGACTTCAAGTTATTTCCACACTGAATGGAGACGTGGTGCTGCTACCTGTGCTATCGACAATAGCCAAGTATGGAAAGAGCCCAAATGTCCATCGATAGATGAATGGATAAAGAAGATGTGGTGTATATACAATGGAATATTGCTTGGTGATCAAAAAGAATGAAATTTGCCATTAGCAACAACGTGGATGGAACTAGAGTGTGTTATGCTAAGCGAAATGAGTCAGAGAAAAACAAATACCATATGACTTTACTCGTGTGTTGAATTTAAGACACAAAACAGATGAACATAAGGGAAGAGAAGCAAAAATAATATAAAAACAAGGAGGGAGACAAAATATAAGAGACTCTTACATACAGAGAACAAACTGATGGTTGCTGGAGGGGTTGTGTGGGGGGGATAGGCTAGATGGGAAAGGGACATTAGGAAGGACACTTGTTGGGATGAGCAATGGGTGTTCTACATAGAGGATGGATCACTGGAATCTACTCCTGCAATCATTATTGCACTATATGCTAACTTGGATGTAAATTTTTAAAATAATTCATTAATTATTTTTTTAAAAAAAGATGTGGTGCTGCTAAAACCCAAACAGAAGTAGATTCCAAAGAGTAGCTGTCCAAAAATCACCCCTTTGGAAACTCAATTTAGTCTGTACCACAAACACGTGTTAAGGCTAGGAGTGTAAAATTAACAACGTGTGAGAGCATTTAACTTAAGGCAGCATGTGTGACACCACTCCTGCGCAGGGCTGAAGTTGACAGTAAAACTCACTGCAAGAGATATTAATTACCTACCAGTGATATAACTCGAAAAAAAATGACTCATTACTTCTCTATTAAAACTTGAAAACATACATTAAGTTGAACTATAGCATAATTCTGCTGCTCATGTCAGGTCTACATGTTCTCTTTAAATTACCTGTTCAACAGAACAATTAACCCAATGATTTCTTAAATAATAACTTATTATCACTGGCACTTAGGATCCCATAACCATAAATCTGTACAAGATCATCATCTCACTTGTCTCCACCCAGCAATATATAACTGTGTGGCAAAATTTACCCTACAAGGTCTAGCCACTTTGGGGTGAAGTCATGTACAACCTCACCAAAGAGGGTCTGTGCCAATACGAAAGAAAAATAAACCCAATATTTACTGAACGCTCTGATTTGGATGGCCCTTTGGTGTTCCCAAATGGCACGGCCACCGCTGTGGAATTCAAAAGAAAAACAACACTGAATGAGGTCAGACAGACCAAGTCAGCTATACCTCCTACTTTCCTTATTATCCAAAGGACCAGTGAACCTCAAAGTTCCTCAGAACCCTCTGGTTCTCATCACTCTTCCTGCGCATCAAAAAGAAACCAAGAGTGGGCTTTACAAACTCCTAAATGGCCAAAACTACCCTGTAATAAATTAACTAAACTACTGTGTCAGTCACAGATAAAAATATGAAAAGTGTTTTTAGATTTGCCTCGCATAATAAAGAGACAGAAAAACAACGTTAAGAAGGAAGCAATGCACGGCGTCAGCAAATAAATGATAGGATTCTATTGATGCCAATAGACAACCACTTACTTGACTCCAGATCATAAAATGAATAAAGTTTCTCCGATTCAGAGGGTGTTTCTTCCATCTATTAAGCAAAGGGAGAAAACACCAAAAATAATTTCAAGTGCTCTAATACACAAATGAATATATTTGACTATCTTTAGATATTTTAATAAAAGTCTATTTAAAAAGACAACTTTCTATATATTTCTTGACTTTATCACTTTCTTAGAGCTGAATTATTTAATCAGTAACAAGTTTAAAGTAAAATCTAAGTTGTGACTTAATCTACCAGTTTCATTTCCAAATGGAAGACTCTCTTACAAGTTTTCCTACTTCTATTTCTTTTTCCTCAGCTCTACCCACAGATTTGTATCATTGTAAGGATTTTGCTACTAATGATCGTAGAAAAGCAGAGATGGGTGAATAAATTTATTACAAACTGTACAACTCTGAACAAGTTACCTCAACTTTCCTCATCTAAAACATAGGAGTAATCAGAACACCTGATTCTCTAGGTTATTATGGGGAAAAATGAGGTCTATCGTGTACAGCAATTAGCACAGGGCCTGGAAGTGGCATGTGTTCAATAGAAGGTAGCTATTACTATAATTGTTTTCTATTAGATTCTGATGTAGTGGGTCCTGGTTCTCTATCTTTTCAATATTAATAAAGTAAGAAAAAAAAGTTCAGATTCAAATATAGTAACAATCACAGAGATTAAAGAAATGCATAATAACACAGTTGATCTGAATTTATTAATGCTTTGAAATAGATTTGTATTTTTTAGTTACAACATAGACATTTGCAAATAGTGGTTAATTATATGATAGATGTCAAATACTCATCCCAAAGACAATGCCTATTTGGAATTTCACATCCGTTTTTTGAAAATTGAGATGTTACTGACATATAACATATTGTTAGTTTTAGATGTGTAATCATACTTTTACATTCTTAAGACTATTATATTTTATAGCCAAAAACAAAAAACAAAAACAAAAACAAAAAAGCCAATAACCAACAGGACAGAATAAAACTGGAGACTGAAATAATTTAAGAATGAGATATTTATGTGAAATTCTGGCAAAAAAAAAAAAGGTCCGAAGGGTATTGCCAGAGGTTTATAGCAAAGAACTTAGTGAGTGTTTTGGTCAAGTAGGGGAAAAAACAGAAGAAACAATTTCAGTGAAACTTGGCCATTAAAAAAAAAAAAAGATAAGGACTCTTTCATGTAGGATTAATTATCATCTAATCAAAACCTCACTTGAAGCAGCAACCAAAAAGTTATACGCCTGCTGCCCTGGGCATTAGTTCACAGTCACAAGTAATGAAGGGAACATAACAGACATTACTGACACCTTACGCCTGTGATACAGGACCTTGTGTTTCTATTCCCACGAGGCCACACACAGGACCTTCGAAAATGGTACCTTCTCACCACCACTGACGCTGTGACTGATAGGAACACGGCAGGTTTTGTCTTCATACGCTCCCTGGAGTAATCTCCCGCCGTACGCGTCTAAAGACAGACTTAACTATGAATAATACATGTAACTGCAAGAGCTCTGGTTAAATTAAAACCCTAGCATATTTCACGAATCTTATACTCACAAGTTTGAAAACAACTCTGCCAAGAAGTCGAACGGAATCCGGGGGATACCTGGGTTTGCAGCTTTTTAGACATTTGCATTCCCGCTTGTGGTCTTGCCAAGCTTTCTTCTGTTAAGACAAGAGTGGGGAGGGCACATGTGACAGAGAAATGTAACTTTCATTTACAATGGCTTTGAACATTGAGAGTCCTCAACACTAATTTAATTTCAACAGCCTAAATAGAACTGCAAAATAGAAAATGAAAGCAATATTCTAATACTATTAATGCTGCAGAATCCAGTCTTTGCCAAGTGTGCAATTACCAGGCTGGACATCAAGGCTTCTGCTCCACCTCTGTGCTTTAATATGCCCCAAGGTTATTACCTGGCTGGTGGAGTCTGAAGGAAGAATCATTATGGCTTCCTTAATAATTTAGAAGATAGTCTTTTAGCTGATTAAATAGGATTCAATAACAGACAGTAATTTTGAAGACAAAAAGAAAGTATCACACCAAATTAGAAAGTAAACACGTGGTTCAGGAAAATTAAAAGCGGGCAGAGAACTTTCTGAGCCTCTGTGCTGCTACAGTGAGTACAGAAATATCAGGAGATCTAACATACAATAAACATGAAACCTTCCATGTTTGAAGACAACACAGAAAAGGTTTCTAGCTAAAATGACCAAATGTCATTTGCCCAGGACCGTTATGGTTTATTTTGTCCTGGCTTAATCATTAGTAGTAACCCTTTTCATTCTGAAAAGTGTGGTTTGGATGACATAATTACACGGTCCCTTAGCCCATGATCCTAACCATGTGCTGGTGTGGCTGCAACGGTCAGCAGTCCTGCAACACTGAGGAGAGGGCTGTGGGGGGAGGGCATTCTCTCCCCAGTCTCGGGGTCAGACACGTTAGAGTGTCCCCAGTGAGTCAGAGACAGCTCGACCAAAAGTCTCATATGTTCTCTTCCAACTGAGAGATGAAGTTCCATCACTGAAATGCCTGATGCTCACGTACATTCTTGCTTCAGAAACTGTAAAATGTGCCTCCCAACTCCTGGCCCTATTAAACTCCTCCAGGAGGAACTGTCTTTTCCACCCATAACACAAACACGCAGTACAACCAAAAATTTCAAAACTGCAGCAGCTACTTTGAAACTCTGGCTTGGATTCAAGTTCAAGGCAGCATCTTGCTCAGAATCACTGCCCCTCTTGAGTTGCTGTGCGAAAAGTCTGGCCGGTCTGCTATTTCCTCATAACCCAAATCTTAAAGACACTATTTACAAGGGGTGCTTTGCCTCTTTTATCAACGCTACCCATGGCTGCCTCACTTTCTTTTTTTTTATTTATTTATTTATTTATTTATTTTTATTTATTTCTAGGAGAGAGAGAGAAACAGCTTGAGCAGGGGAGGGTCAGAGAAAGAGGGAGTCACAGACTGAAACAGGTTCCAGGCTCTGAGCTGGCAGTCAGCACAGAGCTCAACGCGGGGCTCGAACCCACGAACCGCGAGATCATGACCTAAGCGAAAGTCGGGACGCTTAACCGACTAAGCCACCCAGGCGCCCCCTCACTTCCTTTCTTTATCTCCACCAGGGCAATGCTCTTAATGTGATGTTTGTAATTTTTTTGTTTTTTTAGTATTTATACTTCACTCATTTCTAAATAAGACTGCTTGCTTCAAAGCAAAGATATATATGAAATAAGGTTATAAAATTAGAAACAGAAAAATGTTAAAGCTATAAAAAATAGTCCTCTAGCAGTTACTTAGCATTTTATAGTATGTCAGACACATGGGTAAGCAATTAAAAAACAGCATTTCATGTGATGTTCACAATAATCCAAATGGTGGATATTATCTTCTATTAAAGATGAATAAAGTAAGGCTGGGATCTGATTACCAAGCTACGTAAACATAAAAGGGGAAAGTCAAAATTCTTAGTATGCTAAACAGGAGAGCTAAGTAAGTCCATGTTCGTGCACTGCATTGATCTGAACTGCCTTACGGGCAAGGCAAAAAAAGAAAGCATAATGGCTTATATTACTCTCATCTGACAGAAGAGAAAACCACAGAGCTTTACCAAGTATTAAATCACTGGAGGAATTTATTCCAAGAATGCTAATCAATGTACTGGACAATGTCTTCAACAAGAGTTTACAATTCTAATGGCCTTCATATAGCTACTTCTAATGTCCCTAACTCACTAAAAGGCATAATATTAAACTATAACTCAATGAAAGAAAATGTTTCTATTTTTTAGGGAACTAGGCTTAGACTAACAATTAGCAATTTACCAACACTGTGTATGCTTCAAAAAGCATGGTTCCAGGGGCTCCTGGGTGGCTCAGTCAGTTAAGCATCCAACTTCAGCTCAGGTCATGATCTCATGGTTCATGGGTCCAAGTCCTACATCAGGCTCTGTGCTGACAGCTAGCTCAGAGCCTGGAGCCTGCTTCAGATTCTGTGTCGCCTTCTCTCTCTGTCCATCCCCTGCTCACATTCTCTGTCTCCCAAAAATAAATGTTTAAGAAAACATGGTTCCACTGTCAAATAAGTTTGAAAAATGCTACATAACGTACACCCCACTTAGAGATTTGAAATAATTTAGTTTGTGAGAAGTTTAGTTTTCTAAAAAGCTCTGCAGTAAAGAAACTTGCATAAATTAGTTAACACACAAGTTTCCCATGATTGTTACTGCCATCCTTTGGGAAGTTAGGTTGGTATATGTGGACTCAGATGTACTAAATTAGTGATATATTAACTATCTACTTTCCTTCATGTGGTCTCTGACTGAGAGTAGGTGTAGCAGACAAATTCATGATCATTCACACTGACAGGAAACTAGAGTACTGATATTTTTTTCTTTTTGGTTGAAGGGAGAACCGTGACTTTGGTGGAAGAGTTTTCATTTAGTACTGAAGGTGGAGAAGCCTGACGGATGCCCTCATTGGCCACGTGGGTAGGAATGAACCACATGTGCCAATGGGTCTCTGAGAGAGCACTTAGCCCTATTCAAAGCCTCAGCAAGGGTCTGGATGACCAAGGACTGCACCTAACAAAATAAGGCTGAGATCATTTGGACCAAAAGATCTTAAGAGCAGATTTTAATCAACACTTGCTAGTACAAGAGATCATATGTAAGTCCTTTACCTTCAGAGCAGTTCAGTCTCCTGACAGCTTACCAGCGTGAAGTAGCTACAAAATGTACCCCTAGGTAACAAACCAGTTGAACTGTTAGGTGACATTATTTAGAATTAAACATCCAAATTTTGGAGAATTCTTGTCAAAACAACTTTAGGTCTTTGGCATAATTAATATTGAGCTCTTAGTTCTCAAAAGTAATTAGAAACAAAACAGGATGTTTCTTAAGACTATCCCTAGACTGCTGCAGGTGAAAACACAAGAGAACATGTGTAATTCCCCATTTCTTCAGCAAAAAGACATTCATTCTTTTCATCTAGAAGCCAAATCAAATCTATATAAACACAGAAAGCAACCATACCACTTAAAAATGGTCTAGAGCACAGTGTCAACGTTACAGTCTACTTCGTTTCTTACTATATTTAAAAACCATGTTTTTAAAACATTAACTATTAGGCTTTATTGTTCAGCTTCACCATCACATCTTACCATGAGGCTCACTAACACAGGCGAACCACAGCAAAGGCTAACAAAGCAATCTTGTAAGAAACTGCATTTGACTATGAAGCAAAACTGAACAATCTTACAAAAACCTTAGGCATTATCTTCACTCTACAAACTTTAATCTTGATCTAGACCTCAACAGCACATAATACATCTGCCAGTTTCTCAAAGACAACCTTCATGATTTACTTTTTCCTACCTTTTTCCATTACTGAAATACAGGATGTAATTAAGATTTTGTTCACAATACTGGCTCTAATGTTTTCTGTTCTCATAGTTGAAAATTAACAATGATGTACAATAAGCACAAATTAGCATGGAAGACAAAGGAAATTAAATACTGCATTAAGACAAAGATAATGGTAAAAAAGAGTCTTAGATGGAAAAAAGGAAATGAAGATATCTATGACTCGATTCCATGTACTGGTAAATGAACGAATCAAAAAATAACTTCAGGATCTCTATATTTTTATATTTGATAGTATGTATATTGATTCAGAACATTAACTAAGCCAGTAGCTCCTAGGGTGCCTGGGGGGTTCAGTCAGTTGAAAGTCCAACTCTTTTTTTTTTTTTTTTAACATTTATTTATTTTTGAGAGATAGAGTGAGACAGTGCATGAGTGAAGAGGGGCAGAGAGAGGAGACACAGAATCTGAAGCAGGCCCCAGGCTCTGAACAGCGTTCAGCACAAAGCCTGACATGGGGCTCAAACCCACAAACCGTGAGATCGTGACCTGAGCCAAAGTCGACACTTAACCGACTGAGCCACCCAGGCGCCCCAGAGAGTCCGACTCTTGATTTCAGCTCAGGTCATGATCCCAGGGTCCTGGGACTGAGCTCTGCATTGGGCTCCACACTGAGTGAGGAGCTTGCTTAAGATTCTCCCACCCCCCCCCAACCCCGCCCCTACCCTGCACATGTGTGCTTGCTCTCTCGCTAAAATAAACAAATAAACAAACAAATAAACCAGTAGCTGCAAATGGGAATAACCCTAATCTGGAGTTTGTATGGGAAACTTATGGAGGTGTTTATTTGTTAGGATGCTTGGTGGGCACCAGGGGCACTTAGTGGCCAGGAATCAGGGACGCTGTACAGGATAATTCCACACAATGAAGCATCGTTCCAAACCCAAGATGGCTTTTAACAGTCCAATCAAACATTCTACAGAGGGGACAAACTTGTTTATAATTATCTGAGCCTGGAACTAAGCCCTGTCTCACATAATAAAATGAAAAGCTAGTTTCTACACAGCCTTGATAGCACTGAATTTTCTAGGTAAATCAAGGAAAGATTGCATTAGGAACTTTAGCTAGTTATTTAATATTTTATGAAAGTGTATCAGTGAAGGCAACACCACAAGTGGTATTCGGAGTAAGCAAGAATACACATTTTCTGATCCTGAATTTTGTACTTCCCTTTCCCAGGTGACTCTGTAGAGACGCAAGTATATGACTTCTATAATATAAAATATATTAGTTTATTAT